ACAAACCTCACTCTGTTTTTTTTTTTTTCTTTTCTCTCTCCCACCCTCCCAGGTTTCAAGTGGCTATCTGGTTGTGGCTTTTGTTTATGTGACTGAATTTGTTGGCATTAAAGCACGAACCTGGGCTTCTATGCATGTCCATGCTTTTTTTGCTATGGGAATTATGATTGTGGCACTCGTGGGATTTTTGGTTCGGACCTGGTGGGTCTATCAGATATTTCTCTCCATAGCAACTATTCCCTTTGTCTTGTGCTGCTGGATGCTCCCAGAAACACCTTTTTGGCTGCTGTCAGAGGAAAGATACGAAGATGCACAAAAAGTGATTGATACAATGGCAAGATGGAATAAAGTCAGCACTCCCTGCAAAGTTTCTGAACTGTGCTCAGTCCAACAAGATGATCCAGCCAGCGGCAGAATGGGTGATGATGATACATCCTCAGCAAAGAAGCACAACATCTTAGACCTGTTTTGTAACTGGCAAATTGCAAGAAGGACCATCACAGTCTGGCTGATCTGGTTCACTGGGAGCTTGGGGTACTACGTCTTCTCCCTCAGTTCTGTCAGTCTAGGAGGCAATGAATATTTAAACCTCTTTCTCATAGGTAAATATTCTTGTACCTTATTCTGTTAATGACAGAACTGGAAGATAGCATTGAAAAATGTCTATAGATTTGACAGCCAACTTTTTACTTTGTTCATTCAATTGTGAACCGTGTTTGAAAAGTTTCATGCTAACTCTTCATAAAGTTGACTAACACAGTATCATTCACTCCAAATTTCACTGTATCTGAGAAAAAAAAATTAGAATTTGTTGGTGCACAGAGTTCTTCTCTGTTTGTTTTTCTGATTGTAAAACCATATTCTGGCTTGTCTTCTTTTTGCCTTGGATGCTTATAATAAATCCACACAAACACCAGGGGAAGCAGTCAGACAAGCAACACAAAATTCACTCAGCTCTGTTAAAGGCACAAACTAGGAAAATGGGAGGAAAAAATATTCCTTTTATCACTTACAGTTGTGATATATTGAGTTTGTCTGTGTGGAAAATATAATTGTCAGAAGGAAAAGTCATTTTAGTTTTCTCAGAAGTGTAATTTTAATTAAGTTGTAATACTCCTTTAATTTTATCATCCTGGCTGTAATCTTTCTTTGGCATGTAAGTTGTTTATAAAGGCAGCTCAGTGCATTCAAGGCCTGATCCAAATTTGTTAACATCAGTGGAAATATTCCACTGACTTCAGAAGACTCTAGATCAGACTTGCAGCTCTTGAGCCAGTGAAGAATTAAATCATGTGCTTTACTTTGTGCAGCTGAGTACTCTCAGTGAAGTAAATGTGACTGATCATGTATACAGGCTCACAGAAGGACTGGGGTTCTCATAATTCCAGTTTGTTTTGTCATGTATTACAGTGTATTGTTAGACTGATGTGTTGAAGAGTGGGTGCTGGTGTTGCCCAGATAACTAAACTACTGTTGTGGAGTACACTGTACCCACCTCTTCTAAAAATGTTTTAGCACAGACACCAAATAATTACAACCTGCTTTTTCCAACATAACCCCAAAAGATTGTTTCCTGATATTACAGGTGTATTGACATACTATACCTAATAAAGGAATCCAGGCTGTTCAGGGCTGTATCTTATGTTCTTCCTTGATTTTACATTGGACATAGTAGCATTCTTCCTAAGCAAATTGGCTTAAAACATGTCCAAACTGGCTTTGGCTCAGTATTGTTTGTCTAGGGGCAAATCATGTTTACACAGTGCAAACAGGTCTAGCCAAATGCCAGGTCCTTAGAGCAGCAGAAGTTTTTCTCTGGAAAGAAATACTAGGACAGGATAATCTGTATTATGAGTGGGATATTGTAAACCCTCTTTTTTTATGGAGAAGGGACAAAGCTGGAACTGTACTCTGTATTAGTGGGGCTTACTCAGAAAACTGGATGTGGACAGACCTTTCTTGCCTTTTATTTTAACATGATTTTGAGCTGATTCTGGGAGAGGCACCTATGGCTACCATCCCTGTCCAGGTGGAAGCTGGCAAATCCTGAAAGGTGTGTCGGTGTGACACCAGCAATATTCCCTGTGGGCACACTTGAGCTGTTAATGTGAAAATATCTGAAGGAGCAAATGTAGAGCTTTCAGACAGCAGCATCATTGTCATAGAAGCAGAACTGTGGCCTTGCTCTTTTCTGTAATTTTCCACCCCAAAGAGAACTGGAGCTGCTCTGTGCTGTGAAACCTGTTTCCCTTGTCCTTCTCCACTCCCACTTCCGTATTTTAGGCTGTTCTCTGTCTTCTGTCAGACTTTCTGTAACCAAATTAACTAGCCCAACACACTGGTTATCTTTAGACTTTACTTGTTTACTACCCCCTAGATCAGATAAATTCCTCATAAAGAGGAAGTTACAGTTATGAGATGAATATGTGTAATCATGGCTTAAACTGAGATAATTTCATACTGACAGGTGCTGTGGAGTTGCCTTGCTATATCATTGCTTGCGTTGCGATGGACAAACTGGGAAGGAGAAACACACTCATTCCGTTCCTTATTTTAAGTGCACTGATCTGTGTTTTAATTATGTTCATACCTCAGGTTAGTCACGTATGGTTGGAAGTGTTCCTATAGCAGAAATTTATTTTAAAGGCTCTTAAGTCGGTAGATACAGCTGCTCTTTCTAAATCATAGAATAGTTAAATAAAGGCTGGTTTTAAGTTGCAGCTGCCAGTCTAAGATAGATTTCTGTATTTTCAGTACAAGTTTCAATCTCATTGCTGGAGTCACACATAAAATGTTCCTAGGGCTTCAGTGAACCAGGACTAGTAAAAAGTGATATGGAAACTAGTAATTTACTGAACAATTTTTAAAAAGCAAGCAATGAGTATTCCTTATTGTTTAAAGAAGAGTCACAACTTTTGAAGAATGTAAATTATGTTTGGAAGGGTGTAATTTGCTGGTGATATATTTATTTGTGCTCTCTTTCAATAGGATTTCAATATATTAATTATCTTAGCAAATATGGCTGGAAAATTTTCCATAGGTGTGGCATTTGGCCTTATATATCTCTACACAGCAGAACTTTACCCAACAATAGTAAGGTAAGAACTTTTGCCAGTTATGTATTTTTCATTAATTAATTTTCATTAATTAATTTGTTATTCTACACAAGATCCAGCAGTTCTTGGCATCAGTGGTGGTGATCTGAGAGACTTGGGATGGGATGAGTTCCTCAGCTGCCTCAGAGCTGTCTGGAGTTTGGCTGTACCATAGTTTTTTATTTATTTTGCATTCCATGTGCATTGATAGGTTCCATTAGGGAACTAGAAGAATACTCAATACTTTCTTAAACATCTTTATGCCTTTCTTATAAGTCCTTGTTATTCATCCTGTGATCTGTGCTGAATGATAATTATATTTTTAATCTTAATTACAGAAGCAGCTGAATTTCACTACAATATAAATTTACATTGGCATAGCAAGAGCTTCTTAGTATAATTGCTTAAAGACACAAATCTTACTGATGTTTTAAGTGTCTGTGCATTTCTAATCGTTTCCTTTAACTGCAACAATTCTTACTCAAATTCTTTTCTGTGTAGATCACTTGCTGTTGGAAGTGGAAGCATGATGTGCCGTGTAGGAAGTGTGGTTGCTCCTTTCTGTGTATATCTGAGAAGTGTCTGGATTTTCATGCCACTTGTAGGTATTTATTTCAATGGTGAATGTTTTTTGAAAAGGTGTATATGTTGCTTTTTTCTCTTTAGTAATTTACCAAATATGTTTTTCATGTGACAAGGGAACCAAAAGCTGAACATTTATTTAAAAAAGAAAATTGAGTAAACCATTCTAGTTTGATATTTTCAAGTCCCAAATTCTAGTAGCCTCATATTGTTAAAAATATGCTGCTAAAGCAAAAGGGAGACTGAATCACTGAAATATTCAGGAAAGTTTTTATGACAGAAGACAGAGAAAATATTTATGCTCTGAATCCTAGCATAAAATTGATAAAAATATTCTGTATTTGCCATGTAACATTTAGGAATTGTTGTAGTCCACACTTTTTTGCAGACCTAGCAATTTTTGACCATGCTCCTGATTTAGTTTCACTTTTTTTAAAAGGCATAGTTCTTCTATTCCTGAAGTCACCACAGGTGGCTGGATTTTCTGACAATTATGCCTTAACATTTTCCACAGCTTCTTTGGGATGTTGCATCTTTGGAATAGCCTCCCAAGATCAATAATGTTTTGTGCTTACTATATTTGGTCTCCACACCTCTCCCAAAGCTCCTGTTCTGTGTTTTTTGCCAGAACTGAACAAAACAGTTAATGAGATAGAAAAAGATAAGGAAATGGTACATTGATCAGCTTCATGGTGACTTTGACAAGCAACAGAACCAGGTCAGATTACCATTAGGTCTTGTCTTTTACCACCAGTTGCCCCAGAAAAGAGAAGTGGGACCATTCCTTTGTGTACTTTGGGCATTATGTAGTAGATCCACTACTACAAAATATTTTATATGTTACCTGCTCACACATGAATTACATTCCTTCATTGCATTTCTGTTACGAAGCTTTTGCTGCTTAGAAATCCTGCAGCAATTCAATCCATTTTTTCTTCTGAAGGATAAATTATGCCTATATATGTAAAACTAGATGGAATTACAAAATTTGCATTAGAGCTTTAAGTAAAGGAACGTTTCTTAATGATTTTAAATGTGTTTAAATTCTTTCAAAAACCCCTTAGAATTCACTATGACTAGGGCACTGCTGTTATATGTAGTTTATACATGTCAGAAAGTGAAAGTGTAATGGGATGTGTCTTTAACCTGGATTCTTAGTCAAATTGTATCCACCATATTGGAATTTCCTAACCAAGGGCATTGTGTCACTTTGATTTGGTAACTAAAAAATCTTAAGTTTAGATTGTTTCACAGAATTCTTCTGAGCTCATTTTATGATTTAAATTAATTAGTTTTGGTTGTTTTCAATGAAAACTAAGAGGATGAAGGAGACTACAAATGAATTTATTTCTTCAAGTTCCTAAAAATGTTTTCTTTCTTAACAATGTCTCCACATAAAACAAGATATGATCCCAGAAAAGACAAAGAAACATTTTCACAGCAGAGTAGTCATGGGAGAACATTTCTTTTTTTGTCTTGTCAGCATTTTGCCTTTTCTGTCTGAAATAAGATTTAGCTGTGCAGAAGTGCTGCAGTTAGACCACAGATGGGGGAGTGCTCAAACATTTTGGAGAGCAGTGCAAATGCCATTATAAGCACAGGAATTATTTCAGCTATGAACAACTCTCAGGGCAAAAAAGCTATCCAGAATTTTTGTAGAGTTGAGTAGTAGTTCACAGTGAACATGTTTCCATTATTAGCTCCTGTTAAAGAGCATTTGTCAGTTTATTAAATAGGCTGGTCTTGAGTTGGAGCATAGCATGCCAAGTCTCAGGTCAAGTAAGTGTTTTGGAATGGAAGTGAAATCAAATGTATTACATTTGTAAGTAAACTGATACACATCACCCTGATCTATTGCAAACACCACACACTGTTGAACAGTTACTACTGCTATTTGTTTGGCACTCTGCCTCGTGCACAGTTATGCCACCTGTGAGTACTGTAAGCATCTTGAGTGGCTGTAAATCTTCAATAAGTCTATAAATTGAATAACTTGACAAGTATGTTTTTCATGTGACAACTTTATAGAAAATGTGCAGTACAACAACTGCTCCTTATATAACCTATTTCTGTTTCTCAGCTGTTAAGAATTATGTAGCAATAGCCCTTTAACAGGCTTGATTTTCCTCTCAGAAAAAAGATAAATTAGAAAATTAAAAAGCCCACACTGATGTTAATAAATTAATACAAACTCTCTACCAAATACTACCAGTTTTTCATGTCGAAATATAACCTTTTTTGTTGAAGTAGGACTTTTACAGGGGTATTTAACTCAAATAATCTTTTGCTCTGGAGTATATATATCAAGTCCTAGTCTTAGACCACTGCAGAATTATAAATGTTGCTCCAGAAAGGGAAAAGGACATAAGAAAAATTATGGTAAATATTTTCTGAAGGTTTCTATGGTATCTGTTAGAAGCTGCTGGTTGTACTGAAGTGTTGGGAACACTCTAAGAGTTTGACTAAGCAAAAAGTCAGATTTCAAATTAACACCCTGAAAACACAATGCATTTAAGCATATATGACTGTCAAATTAACTTCAACATACTTAATACCTTGTACAATAACTCAAATACACTTTATTTGCAGACATAAGCATTTGACCATATCAGGAGAACATTTTCTGATACTGAATTATATATTTAAAATAGCAAATACATACATACAAAATGCACACATTTGTAGCGTGCAAGCAAAGGGTTAAATTATGTCAGATGCCTTATGAAGAAGTGTGCCAAGACTGCAAAAGAGTTGCTTTTACGAAATGTAAGTCCCTTCATTGATAACTGTGGCTACTGCCCCTGAAAAGGTAGATTACATTTGAGAAGTCCTTGAATTAATACACTGTGACTTAATTGTTGCATACTCTGTTGTAGGAAATACTGGAAAGGGGTTTGAGGGTCAGGGAGAAGGGAAATGTACTGAATTGCTCAGCATGCAGCAGCTTTCACATAGAGAAAAAAAAGAGAAACTAACATGGCATGAAATAGAGTTATGAGAGCTGAGATGAAAAGGCAGGAAAGGGTGTGGTGTGTACACTTAGAGAATAGTGAGAGTTCTCAGGGGAATGAGACGTAGGTTCATGAGGAGGGAAAACACGAGAAGAATGCCAAGTGTCTAAAAAGAATAACGAAAAAAGACACATATTCAAAGCACACAGTGTTACTTTAAGCTTGTTCTTTTGAGTATCACTACTGACCCAGTTCTCATACACTCCAAATTTATGGGTGTCTACAAGATTCAATATCCTTTACAGGCCCCAATATCCTCAGTTATCAACTTCTGACAGACTAAAGGGTGTACATAAAAGAGGATACTGTGGAGTAGCTGCCATGTGTCAATTTATCCTGTATTTCCATAGCAGAAAATCATGTCTGAATAGCGGAGAAAACATTTGACACTCAGAGATGAGATTTTAGTATTTTGGAATATATTTTTTAAATATCACTCCTGCCACATAGATGTCTAAAAGGATCTCCCTCAGTTTGTGCCATTTCCTCTAGTCCTATTACTGCTAGGATTCTTTTTTAACTTTCATGGAAAGACTGTGGCTTATATTTTCACTGTAATTTGTAGTATTTAACAGTATTTTGATTTTTTTTTGTCTGCCTCTATATTTATTGCAAATGTGAAAAGGAGGGTATGCAACAGTGCATTTTGCTTCTCAAAAGAATATGTTAAACAAACTGTCCTCTTTTTTTTTGCAAGGGAAGAGAAGCAAAACCAGCATGGTGCATAGGCAGGCAAATAGCACTGTTCAAGGTTACAGTAGGGAATTCTGATTTTAAAGCACCTTTCTGACTTAAAGTCTGGCTTAGCTAAAGATAGTAGCTGTGCAGTTCTTGTCTCAAGCTCTGTGTGAGAGATGTAGGCACAGTGATTCCAAATGTTCTCTCTCACCCTTGGAAAGAATGCATTAAACAAAGGACAGACTTCAGAATCGGCACAGGGCAAGATAAGGATAATACAGCATCAAAGTTCACAGTCACAGAATGGAAAAACACTGAGACCAGGCATGATGCTCTGTGTGAAAGCTTTTCTATGATGAGAGAATTAGGTCGTTTATAACCTGGTGTTGGAGGACTGGTAGGGGTTTAATGCTGTTCTGTACTCAGAGGACCAAAGCGGGAATTGGTGTCATTGAACAAGGCATAGAAATGTCTGTGTGAAGGGAATGTGAAAAGAAAGAGTAGATATTCCTAGAACAACTGAGTGTTTCTCTACTGACCCCACATTATCCTGATCCTTGCACCACTTATGCTGTTGCTGTGGAATTGTGTACACCATGGATGGGCATATCCAAAATGGGATCCCAGTGCTATGTCAGTAGATGACTGCACTCCTAGCAGTTCTTTGAAACTAAGTTTAGCAAAGTATTCCTGTTGAGAGCTAGCTCATCATCTACTGAAGAGCTCTCCTGAGCACAGATGTGCACTTTTGTGGCTCTGGGCCAATTGAGAAATTCCAATCTGGTTGTATAGAGCAGGAACAAGCACACAGGTACAGGTACACAGGAGCTGGAGTGTGAATTGAGATTACAGGTGGTAGGGAAATTGTAACTCTGTGAAGATGCCTGTAAAAATAAATGTATGCAATTTTAGAATCAGTTCTTAAATACACGCCTGATACTGAAATACCAAATGAAGGTAATATGTGTTGTTAAACAGAATTATTCTTGCTTGCACTGTATTGATCCCTTGTGAACAAAACACTTGACTTGCTCATTCATTAATTCTGCTGCATAATCTTTTCATTTATGCAGCAAAAAAGGTTGATCTTTTATACAGGCAACATTTAAGACTTACGATCTTTGCTTTACAGTTGCTTGTGCTTTATTTTAGATTTACTCTCAAGCAAGATCAAAACTATGGTTAGCTTGAAAGACTTATCTACCTTTACAGCTGCTGTTTATTTCTTCCAGTTGCTTGTTGGAATCATGGCTCTTCTGAGTGGAATATTAACCATAATGCTTCCAGAAACACTGGGAAAACCACTAACTAATACTTTGGTGGAAGCTACAGAAATTGGAAGAAACAAGAAAAGCTCTTCAGAAAAGACTCCTCCAGCACATAATGGTGCAGAATTAGAAAAGATAGAGCTGTTTGGTCAAGAAAAAGTCAGCACTGACAAATAAAGCAGCAGCAAAATGTCTGTTCCCAATTTTAATCACTATCTAATTTGTAAGATCATTGTATTCAAGAAATGGGACTGTTATATAACATCTGTGCCTTTTACTTTGTATTCTGTCTTCCCTTTTCAGTAGAGCAATTGTATGAAACCTTTTCAAAGTGACTGAGTTACTGCAGAAAATTTGATAGGATTTCTAGATCCCTTGTCAGAATTATCCAGACTTTAAAACACTTGTCTGACTTGGTGTGACCAGTTGGAATGATTAGTCTAAATGCTGGAACCTGATTACTTGTATGTAAAAGAAATATGCCAATTCTTTGGTTCACATTTTCTGCAGTTAGATTTGTCGACCTACAACAAAGTGCCCTGCCTGATCTTGTCCTTTTGCAGCTGCCAGTTACAGGCTTGAGACTTCAGAACACAGTTACAATTCAAGAGATAAGCCTTAACATTGCATCAGGTCATATCAAGAATTTGAAACTAATTTATTATTTTTATTTTTCTTACAAGTTTTCTACTAGACATGGTGCCATTGCTAACAAAGGAAAATATTCTATGGCACAGGTTCTGACTGAAAAAGAATACTAAGTTTGCAAAACGTGCAAATAGTTTGTATATTCATTCTGTTGAATGGCAAATGTATTTTTATTAGGGGTTTAGGAAAAATAAAAGTTCCCTGGATCTACTGCTGTTTTAGTTTAGGTAAAACTAAACTGTCTGATCCCATTTAAAATCATATTCATTCCAGACCATTATTTCAGTGCACCCTTTCTCACTTATTTCAGCTTAGATCTAGCATCAGATTTTTCATAACTTCTAAGAGTAGACCTGCAACTTTGCCAAATACCTCCAGCGAGGTCTTCATAGTCGTCAGTGAAAAGGAATAAATGGCATATGTCTTTTGTTCAGGCTCTCTGCACAGAAGTGAATTTACTTATTATTTTTTGGTAGAAACGGTTTCCACTCACCATTTTTCTCATAGACCAGCTGTCTGTAACTCATTTTTCCTTATTATATCACACAAAACCAGTTAGAAAAATAGAATTTAAAAGATGGTAGCTGGAGAACACTGATCATTAGAAGACTGTCTAGTTTTAGTCAAAGTGTCAGAATATCCCACTGCTGCTACACCTCATGTGCATCAACACTTGTTGGTGCAGTGGTTCTGCCTTATGACTCTGGACCATAGAAAACTGATAGAAAGGAATGCATCATTCTGGTTGCTTCTTTTATGACTTGCTCCCACCTCCTCTTTTTCAGTCTTTCTCTAGACCTGGGGATTTCTTCTTTGTCTGAGGATCTGCATCTCTTTTGCTTGACCACCCTTGGTTTGAAGGGAACAGAACAGGCACATCTGCGTGTTGAGGTTCAGACAACCCTCTCTTGCCTGGGTTGTGTGATTTCAGTCCTTCCTGGTTTGAAATCAGTGTTTTCCCCTCTCAGGCCCTATTCTCATGGCATAGTCTCATTAAAACAAGTCTTCCTTGACCTTTGCCATGTACCTACCCCAAAAGATATCTATATTACTGTAGATATTCTATATACTGTAGAAATTACTGGCCACATTTTTCAACTATATCTGCACAGTTTTATTAGTTTCAATGACTTCTGAAACCAGAATAATGGTTTATATCCCCTTACAAAAGATTTTATTCTTCACTGCATTCTTCTAGAAGTTGGTCCTGCTGTTAGAAGAAAATAATACCCTATATGAGGATTAGCATGCTTTGAAGCAAGCAAAAATCAGTAAATTTAAGTTTAGGTAGTACCTCTGAGATAATTACATAGAAAGCAGAAAGGTGTCTTCATGCTTCTTATTTAATTCTATGGGTGTTCCAGTGTTTGCAGGGAAAACCTCCAGAAAGACCTGCATAGAATACTGTGGCTTCTGTCCAGATATATGAGTTCAGCAAAAACACTTAACCTTCCCCCTGTGAGTAATCCCATCATTATTCTGAGAATGACTTGAATACCTACTTTCATGACTGAAGGTCAGATTACTCACATGCTGTGGTTTTTTATTTTGCTGAAGAGCAAATCCAGTATTCTTCCACTGCTTTCAGGTTCCCCTCCACTTCCCAGAGCAGAACAGCTCTCTTTATCTCCAAGATCTACTGCCAAACTCTGCCTGCCCTGCCTTAAATAAGGGTTTAATCATGCTAAAAACCCACCATCATACAATACACCTATCAAGGAATTAAACTGGTACTGTCTTGCCTTTCAACCACCCTCCCCACACACACAGCTCCAAATTCCATGTTTTTGAGTTCTTTCACACTGATACTCCCTTTTCAAATATCTTAAAACTCTAACTCCATCTATCTCAAAACTCACTACTCATAACTTTTAGGAATAGTACAGTCTATTTCTAACAAGGTACTAAAGAATATTTACAATTAATTTTTCTGTTATTTCCTTACCTGCTGTGTAACTGATTTCGGTCTCAGAATTGAAATCAGCCAATGCATATTCTGTGTTCCTTTGGCTTGAGGGATTAATGACCTAGTCATGTGTAATCAGTACACATAAGGTGAAGAAAAGAACAAGTAGAAAATTAAATACACAATGATACTGATACTGCTTACAACTAAAATTTAATTATTATTTTAGACCACAATGTCTCTTGATGGATTAACCCCAAAAGCCATTTCCTCCTGTCGCTGAAGTTAGTTGGTATTGGTCTATGATTCAAATGACCCCTGAATTTCCCTGAACTATTGATGTTACTGTTTTTCCTTGGAAATAAAATATTTGTTGATTTACACGTACATCTTTTGTGATTTTATGCATCAATAGCAAATATTACTTAAAAAAAAAAAGAAAACAGCATGTATCTCTATGTCTCTAGCATTTCTATTTGCTTGTTTTTTCCATATGGGCAAAAATATGTAAATACTAGTCATGCATTATAAATGTAGGAAAATCAGGGTGAGTTGATTCCTTTCTCTTAAATATTCATGGATTTTTTTAAAATCCTTTTGCAAGAGACCACTGAGTTTGAGAACAAATACTTCTCTTCCTATGGGGTATATTTTCATTTCAATGTTCATAAAAAGAATTAGTTTTCATAGTTTCTCACTTTGGTTCACAAGTCCTTTTATGTTTGTATTTGCTATCCTTAATGTGAATTTTCTGTGCTCATCAATGTCTCTGGAGTTACACATAGTTCTATGAGATAGTGAATTAGAATCCTTAGCTGTCTTAATTGCTGGGCACTATTGCATGATGGCAAATGTTTTTGTCCAGAATTTGATATCCAGTAGACAGTCTTGCAATTTGTTAAGGACATACCTTTCTGGGTTAAATATAAGAATAAAAGCAACTATTGTTAGTTTAATGGTAACTAAGGAAAAATAACAAGTACATGTGTTTGGTATTTCAAAATTGTATTTTTAAGCTATACTAAAGGATGTATTTTCTACTTTAACAACATCAATTGTGCAAAATCCTGTAATTTAACCAACTAAATATAAAAAAAAATGCTATGCAAATCATGTTCAGTTATCATATGCTTTGGGTGGTACCCTGAATATCTGAACAAGGGGTGAAGCCTCCTTGAAGGCTGAGGGCTTTTGTGTAGTGGCTCTGTGGAAAGACAAAATGGCCTGACATTCCAGCTCTGGGATGGAGTGAAGGACTTACTGGCATTCTCCTGTGTCTTCCAGTGATTTATTTTACCAACCCCTTAGGTGCAGTCACTTAAGAAGCCTCTGTGGCATCAGGCTCAGCAGTGTGCATGGCCTGTGAGTGCCTTTTGGAAAGGCTTAGGAAGAGGTGAGCTCACTTGTGCCATGGACTCTTGGTCCAGAAGGGCATTGTGACTACAAAAAGGAGGCTCTGAATTCATCCTGTGCCCTTTACAAACATCTGAAAAATGTTTGTCTGAATCCTCGAACAAATTCCTAGGGGAGAAATTAGACACAAAGACTAAAAAGAAAATAGAGTGTTGACAAAAACTGAGTTTATTCTATCAGGGAAAATTCTAGTCAATGCTGACAATTAGTTACCTCTCACAGGAAGAAAGACTAAAACACATCTATGTTCTGACAGCCTTAATTTTATTCACACTCCGTTTAAGTGTGTGGCTGGTGTTTTGGCATTCCATGGAGATCCCTACAGTTCAGGATGGCAAATATCATGTGTGTGTCTTTTCCCTGTTTGTCTTTGCAGGTGTAAGCCAAGATTTGGATAATGTATTAAGTGGTGACTATGACAAAAGGTGCATTAAAAATGTGGCATGTTTTGCATTTCAGTTGCAGGAAAAACATTATTTTTGTCTTGCCTTTGTTTGTATAAGCTGACTGGAGCAGTAGTCCCTCAGACACGTTCAGTAGTGACAAAAATAGCTGCAGATACTGAGGAATGTGTATGTGGTACCAGAAGAGAGAGTAGGTGACCACAGGAATGACAGAACAATGTACTTGTAAGCACATGGTGTTCAGTGCATGTGAAGACTAACTATAGCTTCCTCATGCGGGAACTGGAGTGGGCTGACAGCACAAGGAAATAAGAATTGCAGCAATTCATAGCTTTATTGTTATTTGTCCCCTTAGAGCATCTCAGGAACCTATTTATTCTTCAGTTCCCTTAAATCTCTAATTAGGGCATATGACCCAATTTTCCATGCATATTTTATTAAAATTGTATTTTCTGATTAAGTTACACCCATTGCTTTGCTTCATCATTTACATTTTGAAGGCTTAATGCATCCTTGCCAGGTGATTTATGTTCCTCTCTGAAAGTAACTGGAGTGAATGGTCCAAATAGTTGCTGCTAAAGCTGAGAAGTTTGAATCAAGCCTGACAGACTGATTTTGAGAGCACTGAGTTCAGTCAAGCTGAATTCAATCAAGCCTAAGAAGTATATACTTCATATGGCAAAATATCCTTTTTAGTATGACTGGTATATAAACAGTGATTACAGATTCCAGTTTCTGGACAAAACACCACTTTTCAAAAAAATTACTAACCTAGATTTATGAACAATCAGAAGTAATGGGGAATGTCTCATTTAGTGAAAAACCCACTATTCTGTCTCTGCATTCCTGGCTAACATACAAGCTATGGGTATTTGCTTGGCTATTTGTTGCAGGTAAGTAGGATCCAGCTATGGAATGCTCATAGACGTTTAGTTATTAACCTTGCCTCATAATCTTCCACATGGAGATGAACAGACTTGCATGGGAATAAGAACAAAACAGCATTAAGGGGTGATTATTGTAAAGATTGTCTCCACAGTCTCACCGCCAGTGATGAAATTAAAAAGTGGTTTTGATTGAGGTAATCAGGAACATGGTAAAATAACCAGGGATAAATGGGCTATCTCTCAGTAGATATTTTCACAAAACTTTTAAATAGGAATGTCATCACTGCTGGTTTCTTCCACGTGGAGAGAGAATTCCCCCCATAAGTAAGTAAATAACATGGGACAACAGCAAAATGAGGCACAGCTGAAACTCTTTGTTGAAATAGTAACTTGCTATGGACACTGATGCTTGACTTGAACTGGTTAAAGAAGTGGCAGATAAATTATGCATATTATTTACAAGGTCTGAAATAGGTCAGCGCTACTGTGTTTAGAGGGGTCATTTCTGACCGTTGTTATGGCTCTGTTCAGGATAGCACACAAATACTAAGGTGAAAGGTAACATTTCTTCAGGACTGCTTCAGCTGAGTTGGTGGTGTTCTGGGATGCCACTGCCTGTTATGGCTCAGGACGAGCTCCAAGTACAATCAGGGCTGTGTTTGTTCTGTGCCAGAAGGTTGGCATTCTCTTCCCAAATGCACAAATCATGAGTTGCGCTTTACCAAACACAATGTGTTTATTCACCTTTGCAAAGTACTTTAGCCCATAGAAGATTATTTTCAATGACATTACTATTAGCTTTGGTATCCCAAACCAGCTTGAATTTCTTGCATTTTATTCTCAGGAAAAAACACACTGAGAATTCCCTAAAACCTTCAGACTTGCACAAACATCTGTCACAGAACGTTTTGATCCAAATAATTTCAATTTGGCAAAGTTCTAAGCAATAAGCAGTAGAATCTCAGGAGAAGTAGCAGGCAGTTTTTATCTTAGGTGGAACTGCAACCTCTGTTTATATTTGTATATTTCCATATGTGAAAGGAACCTCTCCAAATCTATTGCAGATACCCTGCAATGACTTAGAATAGTGTTCATTTTTACAATACAGCAAGCCCGTCGTTAAAACTTTAACTTGTAAACAAGTAAACCTGTCTTTGCTGCCTTCCCTGTCTTAATCCCCTATTTTCAGAACACTCAGAAAAATTAAACTATACTATAATTTGGGAGAATTCTGCCTTGTTGAAGGGAAAATCTTTTAAAAAACATGTATCTTAAAGGTCAGTGATGTGTAATGTATCATGGCTTTAGTTTTAAGAGCTCAGCTAGCTTGGGAGGCAAGAGCAATCCACCGTGTGTGGAACACGCTGTTGCTGTTCATGCAGATATGGATGAACAGCAACATATCTGTTCATATGGATGAACATATCCATCATATGGATGGCTTTGGATGGCTGCTGGTCTGAATTCAAATGGCTACAGAGAAAAGGCAGCTTCTTGGAAGACCCGCTGCAAATGCTGTTCGACAGGGCTGGGGGAGCGGTCGGCAAACACTGTCCTGCTGAGTGTTCAGGGACGAATGCTCAGGCTGTCAAATATTAGCCAAAACATCCTGCCAACGGCTAGTGCCCCGGAGGCAATAAACCGGGGTATATGGCATGCAATTTCATCCCAGAGTTCCTGCAGAGAGGTTTGTTTTTGACAGACTCACGTTTTCCTGCTGCAGTCAGCCCTGCGTGGCTGGCTCACTGGGGATCTGCGGTCTGGCAGGAACCCGCTCGCTCCTCGCCGCGCTGCGGTGGCTGGAGTTCCCCTCCTGGCGCCCGCGCCATTGCTCAAGAGCCGGGGCAATCCTCGGGCAGCGCCAGAAACACTCCGAACATGACTGCCTGTCAGCGAGGGAGCAGGACAATGTATTCCCTGCGGCACAGCGGGTCCCGCTGGGCCTCCCCCAGAGGGAATATCGGGGGGAAGGTTCTGGCAGGCGGCGGAGGGCCCGGCCCCGGCGGAGGCTGCGGGAGCGCTGCCAGCGCCGGCGGCGGCCCGAGCCCAGCCCGGCACAAGCGGCTCCTTCGGCCAGGCCCCGGGACGGCAGCGCGGCGGGCCCCGCGCTCCGCGGGACCGGGGGTCTCCTCCTCACCAGGTATCGCCTGCTCTCCCCGCTCGGGTTGTTTCCAGACCGTACTTGTAGGTGGAAAAGTGCACGTTGGTGCCGGAGCCCTTTCGCTGCCGAGGGCCGGGATCTGCCCGCCGTGGCTGCGCGGGGGATTCCCGCGGGCAGATCCCGTCTCCCGGAGCCGGGGCAGGGAGGGTCAGCCCACACACGGGGGCGAGGGGTGAACCGCAGGGCTTAGCGGGGGGATGGTCCGGGATCACAGCTGCTCCCTGCTCCCTTCTTCCTCGCCCAGAGCGGCCCTGGGCGAGCGGGGGTCGCAGAGAGGATTGCTTTCCTCTCCCGTTTGGGAGGAAAGCGAGAGCAGCCCGGTGTTAAGGTGCTCTGGTAGCCGCGGGGTCCCCTGTGGCAGTGGCTCTCTGTGAATCCTGCTTTCTGGCTGAGGGGATCCCGAGAAGCCTCTACAGTCCTTTGCTCGGTGAAGATATCCTTGCCTTTCTCCTGCAGTACTTGCTAAATGTACATCTCACAGGGCAGCCCAAAGAGCAGAAAGGGCATCTGGCCAGGGTCAAAAAGCTCCTCTGCAGCAAACACCCAAGAATGAATTTGTCTCTGCCCAGAAAAAAAACCCTCTCTGGGGCCGTGTGAAGGGAAGAAACAGCAAGGGTGCTTGTAAATTGGGGAAGGGATAAAACAAAAGTGATCAACAAAAAAATGAAGGGAAAAAGTGTTCCATGACAGGGACAGTGGGTACAGCTGCCGTGGTGGATGAGGAGTCCCTCCAGCAGCTTGGAAAGGCTTGAGCCTTCGCTCCCCAGTACCACAGGCTTCACACAATTCAAAACAGTGTTTCAGCACTTACTTATGATAAGAGTCAGTTACAAAAAACCCAACAAACCAAGCCTTCCAAATATAACAGGTTTTGGTTTTCTTTAGTTACTTCCTGTTCTAGCTTTTCTGGTCAACAGTTCAGCTGGGCTTTTTCCACTGTTTATTTGGGTGTGTAAATATGCTTATTTTTGTAGGCCAGCCGGATTGCGACACAAGCTAAGAGTGTCCAGCCCGCTGTGACTGTGGGCTGCAGCTGCAGCTGGCAGTGGATGTACATGTTTCTCTGTCTGTGTGTGTGCTGGAGAACAATCTATATTGGCCATGTTACCCACTGCCAGAATGATGTTAGAGCTGAGAGTTAGTGGCACTTAGTGGTGACATACAACTATTTGAGGCAAGAAAGAATAAAGACCTCCTTGTGTCACATGAGACTGACATTGTGTCTCAGCTGCAGGGATTGGTAGGTGAAGTAATGTCACAAAGGATCTCAATATTTTTAAAACTTGTTCTGGCCTGGGAGAAGCAGGAGGGTGACAGGGACATGAAACCCACATCCGGCAACTGGTGTCCTCATTGCTGGGGAATACAGCTCCAGGTGATTCCCTCTGGCTTCTGTCCTGTTCTTCCTACACTATGAAGAGACAGAGAGCTAAACAACACCTGACAGCATTCACCTCACTCCCCAAGAGCTACTGCAACTGATCTGCTTTTTAAATGCTGATTTTTGCAAAACGCTCAGGCCTGTCTGAGAGGATGAGAAGTGTCAACCCTGCTGGGACTAAGCTGGGCTGCCACATCAGCTAAAAATAGTTTTTCCTTCTCTGCCCTCCACCCAGCAAGATGCCAGCTGTGCTGTGAGGGCAGAGCCATAGGTGGGCCTTGTATTCAAAGTGGGATCAGTAGTTCTGCAAAGCCTGAGCTGTGCTTGCTCATACAAGCTGTGTGTAGCCTCTGCTTTGCACCCAGTTAGTTTTTGACATGAGGGCTTGTGCTCCTGGACTGTAGCAGTAGGTGCAGGAAAAGTGGTGTATTGAACAGGTGCTTGTCATGGTCTTCTGAGCTGCTCTCACAGGCTCCAGCACTGTCAGCAGCCCCTTCCTGCCCTCGCTGGATTTTGAAGCATAGGGATCAGTTGATATCAAACTGGCTCATCTGCAAAAATCCCATCTGAACTGGGTAGACTTGTGAAACCTGAATCTCCACCAAGCCACAGCTCCCCTTTCTTTGCCAGGGACAGGGAGGTCAGTCAGGAAATTCAATCTCCACCATGGTCCGAGGGCTTCAGTGAAGGAGAGTTGTGAGGGACAACTGAAAGCACATCTCTGGCAGGTGGATAATGTACCCATTGCATATGTTCCAGGGCAGCTGAAAAAGTAGAGCTGTGCTTGTCCATGGACTGCTGGGAGGATCACTGGGCACTCTGAGAGCCACACATCATTTCCACAGCTGTCAATTCTGAGTGAGAAGGTTTGTTCATAAACATGTATTTTGGTACCTTTCTCAGAACCAGTTTTCCTCAGTAATTACAGAATTATTACCCAGGTCCCCCAATTTCTTGTCACCAATATTCTTCCTTACTTTCCCTTTCCACAGCATTTTTCCAGACTGGGTTTCTGGGTGTCAGCCATGCAGGCCAGCAGTTCTGGTCCAGGGGCCAATTTCCCCCCTGTACTGTGTCCTCTTCCTCTGTGCCTACTGTGCAGGCACTTCTGTAATCAGCTTATGAAAGAAGATGTAATAATTAGCAGAAAGAAACTTATGTGTTGCCCAGAGAGGAAGAAGATGGGTTGTAACAATCCTTGGCTGTGATGCAGAAGGAATGCAATGACAGGCAACAGTTCCTGCTGCTCTTTCCCTTCTTACATAGCAAGACATTAAATTTTAAGTAATAGAACCTCAGGGGTAAGTGAGAAGCTGTGTGAACAGTTATGAACAAGGATCTCATAAGTAAACCTGACCTATCATAATTCCAGGTTGTCTGTCTAGCCTAAATTTACATCAAAGACTCCAAAAAGCCACAGGAAGGTGCTAAATCAACCTGTCATTTTCAGTGCAGGCACTGATTTCCAGTAAAAGTTCTCAGAAAGTATTTAGCAGGGCAGGATCTCTACAGTCACTGATAAGCAGGCCCCATAGGAGAAACTAGAACCATCAGAGCATAGAACTGAATGTCTGTCTCACTCAGCATCCTCTCGGAGAGTGAATATTGTAGCTATTCCAGGAAAAAGTTAGTCATAGGCATAAGGGATCCTCCCCCTACCTCCTTGGTCAGATTTTGGCAGTGACCTTTGGAAGGGGTGCCTGACCCAGCAGCAGCACCCCTACTCACCTGTTCGAAGCTGCTAAAAGATTTATCACCTCTGAGGTTGCCCAGTGTCTCTCTTCTGGGCCCATTTAGTCCTGGCTTTGGGCAGTTTGCAGGGTGCACAGAGCTGCATGGTGTAGTTCTGCTTGGTGCCTTTGTCAGTGGCACCTGAGCTGGCCATGGCCAGGAACACAGGCTGGCACCTCACTGGGATGGGTAACCAAGTGACTGTCTACCAAGAGCTGTGTGCCACTCCCCAGGACAGGTGCCAGCTCCAAAGCTTGCCCAGGACAGGGGAAAATAGAGACACTGCACTTCCTGAAGTTGCAATCAGCAGATGAGGAGTGGAGTGGAGCTGCTCCAGGACATAAAGCAAGTTATAAAGAAATGAAGATAAAGGCAAAAATACATGCCCTTGGAGCAGCAAGACTGGCTGGCACCTGGGGACTGCCATGTGCTGCTGAGAGAGCATGGCAGCCTTGGATGCCCACAAATCTGTCCAAGGTAGTGAGTCATGCTGGCAGGTACAAGGACCAAGAATGTATTGGAAGCCTCCAGTGTGATTTGCTTCTGCTGCCCAGGCAGTGATAACCCTCACTGCTGGAGATCCCAATATTCAAGTAACCTTTAGGCTTAAAAAGCTTTTAAAAAGCCAATTTCTTCAGAGCTCTGTGCCTTTTGCACCTGACATGATAGAAAACTTGATGGGTGCCTCACTCCCTCAGATTTTATTGAGGAAACCTTTCCCAAACCAGCCCATGCTGTAATGGTGCATGTTACACATCACTCACTTGTGCTGAGGATGAAGTAATGGCTGCTTAAAGACATTTCAAAACTTTTTTTGTCATATCAAAGGCTGATTTTTTTTTAATCCTAACCACAGTCCTGGGATTATGTTACATTATATGTGGGTATTTCATAGCCTGATACTCGCCCTGGATGACAGTGATGTGTGATATGTTGTTTCCAAATGCAGGTAGGAACCTGTCTCCTCTGGCTCTGCATCCTGGAGATGGCCTCACCCAAGGTTGCAGTGGTGGGTGCAGGTGTCATCGGCCTGTCCACAGCACTGTGCATCACAGAGACTTGTCCCAGCTGCTCTGTGACAGTCCTTTCGGACCAGTTCAGCCCCAACACAACGAGTGATGTGGCAGCTGGAATGCTCATCCCTCACACCTACCCAGGTTCGTTTAATTCAGGGCAGCACTGCCCATGGCACCTCATGCAGCTGTGTCTAGGTGTGCAGTGGTGCATAGATGCTCAGGAAAATAAGTGCCTTGACCTGTGTTCCCTGTCTGTCCCATATCCTTGACACTCATTTGTATGATTCTTTTCCTCGACACTCATTTGTATGATTCTTTTCTTTGCATTATTCTCTGCAAGTTTGGTTTTGTTCACATGCAGACACACCGATCCACAGGCAGAAGCAGTGGTTCAAAGAGACCTTCACTTACCTTTTTGCCATCAGCAACTCAGCCGAGGCATCAGAGGCTGGCATTCACCTTGTCTCTGGGTAAGAGCAACCTCTGGGGAAGCCTTTGGTACATTTGTCCTGTGTTCTGGATCAAGCAGACAGGTTTTCTTTGCTAGAATTCAGGGGTATTCCCTTCAGGGAGTAGCTTTTATGTCTGTATTCCCAAGAAACTGCATTATAGCTGCTTATATACAATGTATTTTTAGGCAAAGTTCAGGAACATGTGTGCACAGAAAACCCACCCAAGTCTGAC